AGTGCTGTACATGAATACACTAAGCAGTTGTTTTATAATCTAGACTGCATGGATAAACGCAGAGAAAACTACTGCAAAGCTAAAAGTCAAAATGAGCGTAATACACTAATGTTTATAAGCTATTTGATATACACTGTTACTTAAAAGTGTGCTAGTATAGTCAGCCTCTTGAATGATCGCTGCAGACTTCCACAGGCATTTTTAACTTGTTATACTCGGCTATGACGATACGATAGGCTATGTCGTGATTCTGTATCTTTCCAAACTGACCGGTTGAGTGCGCATCGTTGTAACACGACCTCTAACTCCCGCTGCGCCACCTGCTGACAAAGCTAGCGGCTAACCCCATTACATGATTGAGTGATCGGAGACCACATAAACTTTAACCTCGCGCTTAGGTTATGCTATATATATTATCAAATATCTACCTATCTTCCCACCGATGACCAGTTTTCCCTTTTGCCTTGAGCACTTTCTTCAGATTGGTGAGATATTTACTAATGTTGCCTTTTTCTGTTGCTGACAATGTCGGAGAGGAATTCACAAGGTCAAGAATATCCTCTGATGTGTTCTCTGAAACATTGCCCAGGGTTCCACTGGCTGCTGTTGACTTATAACGTTTCTTTTCAGGTAGCTCGTTTGTGCAGTCTGTTAGGGGTGCTCGCTTTCTCTGACCTGATGCAGCTTTGCTTATATATTTCATGTGCTTTAAGACGTTCCCACATTCGTAGCACATTTTACGGGACTTTACATTTTTTTTATCGAATGGCAAGCCTCTTGCACATTTCAGACTGCAAATTGTCCTTGTGAAGTCAGATGAGGTATCTTGTTGATGTTTGTTAGACCACTGAACTGCTATGGCAATTTCTTTGCCAAACCCGTTTTTCACTACACCATTGGGAACAGCTTGCTCGCTCGATAACCCCTGACATAGTTTTATTTTACGTAGTAAAGTAGCGAGTAGGAAGTTGATGAGCCACCCTGTAGAAGGAACTTCCACCTGTCCACTGTACACTTCTGTACCGCATACAAGACGACACTGGCTGTTTCCAGCGTATAGGCAAAACGATGATATCACAGGTTGTCCATTTAAACGTCTCATGCTCCTACGACCACTCGGTGCAATCATCGTTCTTTTTGTGTGCACTACCAGATATTTTAATGCCTAAAGGGTCCTTGTTGGCTTCGTTACACTCAGGCGTTTCAGTGTAGATCACACCTTCATAAAAATTAACCACATGTCCACTGCTTGCTGTTTTCTGCCGACGAACAACATGCGGAAAAGTCGTGATGACAAGCCGTCCCAAAGATTCTCTAGGCAGTGGTTCAAAATAATTGCTTGATTTCGTATATAAATTATACAGGCACTGTGTTGCAATAGCCTCATTAATGCCACTTGCTGTCTCTGCCAAGTTAGTTTTCAGCCTGAAATTACATGTAATGATTTGAAATATTATAATATTTATTAAATAGTATAACTTTATTCGTAACTTTATTTTGTCACGCGCAAACATACGCCTCCACTGCCGTTGCTGTACATCTATAGAAATTTCAATGACGTTGATTGCAGCAAAAAAGCTTAAATTTTACATTGCATTATTGCATCTAGCAATTTATTATAGCATGTACTGACAATTATCTGGTAAATTACTACTGTGGCATACTGATGATGACTGTGGCCAAATGAGTTCAATATAATTATATACAATTACACAGTAACACTATACAATTACTGAGTATATTATGATTTCTATTGCACTTACCAAGCGACGGTGCACAATTCTCTCCATAGCAATGGGACATCCATTTTCGCCCAGTATTAAATCTTTATTGCTTATTTACGCTTATTTTTATTGCTTTATTACACGATTTCAATACACATATCTATCAAAATCATAATATCTAGACTATGCACGCCACAATGAAATCTACCGCCACTTCGCCCAGTAATAGACGAACCCGCATCCCGCTAGGCAATACAGATCGACGAGCGTACAGCGAGACAGTCACAGGGGGTCCGTCTAACATGACTCACCCGCGATGTCAACAAACGTAGCCTCGCAGCCTGTCTGCGCATTAAACTTGCTGCAGCCAATCAGCGCAGCCGCCAACGGTTCAGCCAGCCGCCTTCTTCAGGAGTAGCTTCCGAAGGATCATTTAGCATGTATTTTTTAGGAATTTCTGTGATTTGAGCGCATTCTGGCGGACCGATTGTCAAAATTGGCGGGTGTAGATTGTTAAGCAGTCTTCCGCGATTCCAACGATAGTTGGAAAGTGGCGTCACCTGCAGGAACACCGGAGTTGTAACCGATTTAAAACGGTGAGTTGTGGAAACTGCGGCGGCGAGTTAGGCACCATGTTATATATAGACAATGGCCGTGTGTGTGCTGTAGCTGCAGCGGACTGGTTCTTGCTGCCAGTGCTGTAGGGGGCCTACTTGTGACATTGTGTGTTGCAGAGGAGCATTTGAATGGCATTTACAGGAAGTTATCAGCAATAATAGGCGAAAGAGAGTAGATAAACATTAAGACTTTGGTAGTAAATACATTTCGTGTTTATTTCCCATTATTTTTTTTATTGAGACGTTGCAAAAGTGCCTGTGCCGTGGCTGTGGGATTGACGGTCACAGTGACTGACAGTGAGTGTCAGTGTCGTATTTACAATAATGTTACTCTCTCAAACGGCCGAAGAGCCCGTGGCTTTACCTGTCTCCTGATCGCATTCGACATCACGACCAATCCAGGATACAACTACACGTACACACACACAGTGACTCCGATGAAACGAACTTATAAACAACTCACAAAGTTCACAGATCGAAACTACCAACTATCGAAGCAAGTAATATAAACTCTTAGAGCCCGATACGCAGATTCGCTAATCGTCGAATGACGTCAGAGTCAACGATTACAGAGGGCGCGCAAACTCCACACAGAACCGCACGTGTGGCGCACTGAATGTAACCTGAGAACAATATATACATATTGTATATATTGTTCTCAGAATGTAACCATAGATATATACAAACACAGTGTGTTTGTATGTAACCACTGATCGCTATATATATACCTATATCGCTATATATACCTTGGAGTAATCATTCTAAATGATTCAGAATGATTACTCCAAGGATATACTAAATTAAGGTATAAAAATATATAGTTTGGATATAGAGATCAGTAAGTGTCAATTGAACGTGACCCTGATCTTTATCAACTATAGTTGCTATATAGAGATCAGTGGAGTGTGCACAAACAATCTGTAGACATACGCACACACACAAGCACGTACCACACACATCGTACGCATACACGCGCGCACGCACCCACACTGTACACGCACGAACGCACACACTTATCATGGACGCACGCACGGACGCACGGATGGGTGCACGCACGCACGCACGGACGGGCGCACGCACGGACGGGCGCACGCACGGACGGGCGCACGCACGGACGGGCGCACGCACGCACGCGCGGACGGACGGACGGGCGCTCGCACGCACGGACGGACGGGCGCACGCACGCACAGACGGGCGCACGCACGCACGGGCGAACGGACGAACGGACGGGCGCACGCACGCACGGACGGGCACACACGCGCACGCACGGACGGGCACATGCGCGCACGCACGGACGGGCGCACGGTCGCACGCACGCACACATACACACATTTTTGGCAGATACAAGGAAGGCTCGAATATACATCCAATACATCCACGCTGCAGGACAGGAATAGGTTATCGACCCCTTATCAAAGCAAGATAATTTTCATGGCAAACATTTAATGTGTGCCTTCTATTTTCAATGCGTAATTTCAACAAAATGATGTTTGTTTTGTTATATATCGCCGCATGCGCGAAATCAGAACGTATGCTACAGTAGGTGGGAAATATGTTATAAATGTATATAATATGCAAATAATGTATGAAGTGAGATGTGTTGGTGTAGATCTAGAATAAGTTCATGATTCCAATGTAATGTTAATTTTTTGACATGCGCCAGGCCAGGTTGTAGGTTATGGTGACAAGGAGAGGAAGATAAAAATAATATAAAAGTTTGATAAATGTGAATAACCCTTAAATTTGTGTAAATGAGCATTCATTCATTCAGAACACCCTCGTCTCCGACCCACCTAGCTAGGTCACTCTATATCCACACTGGCTGGAAGCTGCGCTTCTCATACTCAGTTACGAAATTATGCAAGCCGGGATTCGCACAGGCTGCGGCTCCGGCATACACACTCAGGGAATCTCCCCCTTCCCCACGTACACGCGCGTGCATACGGTTGCAATAGCCGGGACAAATATTATAATCTAATATATTAGGCGAAATTTAGTGCTTCAACAAATTGATGAGAAAAATTTGTTAAAATTGAAGAGAAAAACGTGTTTAAGATTGGTTGTAAGCTAATTTATTACATAGAATTCAGTCATTATAATAAATTAAATTATAAAATTAGTCATGCTGAAAAGCATATTCTCCTAGATTAACTGACCTCATTTCCACCCGTTAAATCTGGCTTGCATTGCAGGTCCGTAGACTGAGCACATTTCTGTCCATTCACTTGGGGTGGAAACTATTTTATTGTGGGTTGTAAAGAAGCGAAAACTAGCTAATGTCTAATGATACCATAGATAAGTAAGGCTATCTATAAGTAATCTACTGCGATTAGAATGTAAGAGAACTGCATGGTGGCAACTTCATAACTTCGCAAAGGCAGCGACCTTATACTGCACAGAGCAGCATGAAATCAGTCTAGTGAATAGCATTTATAGAATACATTTCTTATGAATAGCATAAATGTATAGAATACATTTCTTTTGAATAGCATAAATGTATAGAATACATTTCTTATGAATAGCATTTATAGAATACTTGTGCTAGTGGTAAAAGCCCGACTATAAAAGACAATCGTGTAATAATTTCCTAGCAAACTTTGCGCAAATTGATAGGAAATTTTTTAGTCATTAGTAAATAAGTGTAAGAAAAAAACGCATCTTAGTTTAGTTGATTTAGCTAAATTTTATTGACACATATTATGATTTTCTTATCTCATTTAAATGGATACTACACCCTAGAATTTTAGGGCATATCATGATAGCAAGTGCATAAATCAGTGAAAGCGTCGCGATAATGGAAATAACTGTGAAATCGTTTCTACCCAAATAACTGTTCATGAAGAATAGCAAGTAAATCTCAGACGGGAGGTACCATTTTGTTCGTTAAATAAATCGGAACCATTTCATATCTCTACCACATATAATTGTCAAGGAACTGTGTACAGGTACTAGCGAATGTCAAATATTTAAACTGCTATTCTAAAGGCTTTTCGTGCAAAAAACAACAGACAGTATTTGCTAAGCACATGTAATATGAGCAAAAACTAATCTTGTAGACCATTCTATTTTATCCACACCATTGACCATTTAAAACTTATTTAAAGCCATTAAATAGCTCAACAAGAAAAATGACAATCTCTACCTCTAGCAAGATGACAGCAAAGGGTTTAAGAATAAAAAATTGACTTGTCCTGTGCGTGAATTGAGCTACCTTCCTGTTGTGATTGACAGACAATTTTACCCAATCAGTGTTGTAACAGGATGTTCAACAAAACAAGTCTCAGTGGCGACCCCACATTTTCGCGTGTACACATGCACGTTACTGTACAAACTGGGTAAGGGTACAACTTGGCTGACCTAGCAATAATATCAAATGCAGGCGTGATCATCACACTCCAGCATATAGGTCAATTATGAGCCAATGCAACTGAGCCTGTAAAGGAACTATGCCGCATAAGGGATCATTGCTAGCAGACGAGTCTGACGTTAGACATCGCCCGCCATCACTGTACTGCATCGCGACTGTTCACACATTCAGCTAAGCACAGTCCACTATTTCCAACATCGACACGATTAACAGCCGATTGCTGAGCACTTGACAAGACCGATCATTTACGATCGCCGCATTCGTCACTTGGCTGGGACTTCCATGGCTGCAGAGGCTGCTCCTGCCTCTTCCGACTCGTCATTCTTGGGCGCATACCTCTCTCGCATCCGCCTTCCAATGTAGTTCCAATACTCGACTCTGATGGTATCAAACTCCATCGCAAGGGCTTCGACTAACTGTGGAGAAACGCGTGCGAGTCGGACGTTAGAACCGAATCAAAATCATTACATTTGACTCACAGAGAGAGTCAAAAATCATACACAAATGATATTGGAAAGAGTCTTACCCGCCACACGTTTAGTTTATGGTTTGTACATGTCACGCTGCACCAATACTAGAATTGCCGTGCACTGCTATCATCATTTGTAAATGATCATTAATGAAAAATTAACAGTAAACCACTTGGCACAAGTTTACAGCAGCAGCCAGTCAACTGCGGATGGTTTATACACTCAAACCTGTATATAAGGTCACTCAATGTAAAACCCCGAAAGCGTCCTTTATAGTAGGGCTGTCATTGGTATGAAATTATTACGATTCGATTATTGATATTTTTGGTTTTCGATATTTCAATCCGATTCGATTTAATATGTAATAAAACATGATGTAGCAAAAGATGGATGGTGTTTCTTGTTGTTATTTGTAGCATTGTAGGTGTGTTTTATTGTTTTGTATGGGAATGTATGCACTACAATATTATAAGCCTGTTATATATCTTTATCTCATTACACAGTTTACAGACGACTTTCGATCTGTCAACTGCCCCATCCCCTGTCTTGGGGAAACCAAAATATTCCCACACAGACTTCTCTTTCCTTTCCTGGACCTGAATGAAAAACGAATAACCTTTTATCAGGCAGGCATATGAAATCTCAAAAAGATTTCTAGTGTATGGAGTATGTATATAATAAAAAAGATCGTATATGTAGTGCCGACGGAAATGATATTTTACAGGGGTCGAAATTAGCGGTATGCCGATATCCGCGAGATAGTAGATTTTTGTGTTGGATGCCAGATTTCCAATGCTTGGTATCCCGCCTCGATAGTAATACAAAATCGTCAAAATCGGGATAGTGGTTGTTGAATTATCAACTTTATACGGCAGCGCATCTGAGCAAGTGCGCGCGTAGAGCGAGTGCGCACGATCTGAATGGGCTCAGGCACCCTGATTCTCATCGGTCTCGCTGCTACCATGATACCGTGATGATCGCGGATGATAATCAGGGTGGGCTCAGGTCAGCGATACATGTACATAAACGTGATGATATACATTGTATCAAGCAAGCCAGACAATGCGTCTAGACATGTACGTTTCAGTGTATTGTGCAGGCCTGGCTAGCCTACAGGCTGTGTATCGGATCGCTATTTTTCATTTTATTTCGATATCGATATCGATATCGGACGCAAATCCATCGCGATTCATCGATGAGGTGGGTATCGATGACAGCCCTACTTTATAGACAGGTGTATTTTCTATACAGGCAGTTTCTCCATATTATTTCCACACAATGAAACGACAAGTGCCCTTTATATACAGGTGTGCTTTATAGAGGTATTTACTAACACAGATTTGACTGCATTTCCCATCCGCCATCCGACGTGCAATTACTCATCGTTCATTATTCATCACTCGTCGGTGACTAACAACGCGCACCACTAACGACTTGTAGAGCACGTCTTCCACGTTTTCGCAGCCCTGCTCCAGCCTGTCCTCGTAGATCTCTCTCATGAAGCCAAGCAGATATGGCGAGCGGACGCTCTTCCCGTACAGCTCCTCGCAGAATTCCATCAGGCCGGGGTGCGTGCTGAGATCTTTCTCCAGCAAAGCCCTGCAGCGAATGCTTGCCATTAACCCCACCACACTCGTGTCCGACGCAACGGCACTCAACTCATTACCGTCGCGCGTGATTTAACAGACAAGATACGCTCCCCCGAGGCTAAATGAGGTTATTATAAACGCGGTGCTAGCGTAACACAAACATGTCGCATGTGAGCATAGTCAGTGCATTCGTTTTTATTGCGAGATTTTTGCTCAGAAACGCTCAATCTGAAAAAATATAGCGAAATATAGTCTCACTTCACAGCGGATATATCACTGATTACGCCATCTTGAAAAACACTAAGATTTTATGCAGTTATAGCATAGAAAATGGGATATGAACACATCGTAACAGCATCGAATTTTATTGTGTGGCGAGAATGGCAGTATGGGTAAACTTGTAAATTGTCGGTGCTCAAAATTGTAAACAAAAGGGCATCTGAGACTCTGCGAGAGATGTGTCAGTCTATGGTGGAGTGCACTCAGTTTATATTTTGAAATTGGCCAATAGCTGGCGCTATGATCTGGCTCCAAGATCACAACAAATTGCGACGGTAATAAAAGCCAGTAATCGAATATTTTGGTGAATACGAAGGTTCTAACACATTTTATCGTTACTCTAGATAGTTACTGTTACTCAAGCAATAACGGAAAGTGTCGTAAAAGTAGGGAAAACACGAGATTATGCTCGAAATTATGGCTTTAAGACACAGTATGCCATAAGAGAAAGGAGATGGAAAGACAGATATACTATCAAGGTAGTGGCAAACAGCATCGTTAGTTCTTTTTCATTAAGGCTCAATATAATTTCTCTTTAATTTCCTATATTGCCTATTACATGCTATTTACTAAACGAAATTTTGTTTCTTTGCAGTTCAGTGAAGATCTGTTGAAGGAGGCTTTGTTCAATAATGTACTATAGTACTGGCAATTTAAAGCTGGTAAGACAGTAATTCGTGATCAGTCAGTAGCATACCCTCTCAAGTAGTTCCAAGACGATTCATTGTTCGGTGCTTTCCGTATCATGTCCTGTGCATACCTGTAGGGAGACAATCAAACAACCATGACCTCATAGCTCTTCACAGAACCACGGCATGGACACGTTGATAGCAATTATCATATGCTGCTAACAACATTTATACTTTTCTGTGCAATTAGCAGTGCAAAAAAAATCAGTAAAAATACAAATAACGTATAACAATAAGTGTACCACCACTATTGCTCCTATCTAGTATAAATTACTTCCAACTGAAAAAAGATGAGGTTAATGTCAGTGTGAATGATGATGACCGCACCAACTCTGTGTAAACATATCGAATAATAAGACAATAATGTTACATTAAGATTTGTCATACATTATCGTATATATTTTTTTTTATTTGTTTGTACTGCCAGTGCTCTGAATCCAATTAATATGATGTGAAATTAAGACGATCTCTAACAACCCAAATATCGTACTTGACTTCTTTCTCCAGGACAGCGTCATTGAAACCAGTTGTGTGGTAGATAACAAAGTATCGTTGGTTCCAGGCCGAATTATTGCGCACATCCTCCTGCAGAAGTTGGTCAATGAAGGAGAGTTCGTTTTCCCAGATGCTGAATGTCCGTACCACCCACTGCCTAGATAGGGAATTGACGAATGGGTACAAATTAAGCGAGCAGTACTTTATACTAACAAGAGCCGCAGAGCGTCTGGGCTCATCTGAGGTCTGTTGCTACGGTTATAAATGTAACATGTAAGTCGTGCGTAGTGACACCTTTGTTAGGCGCAGATATGCAGATACGCAGTTGCGTACACATAATTTCAGCAACCTTCTGCATTCTGCATACCTCCCAAATCCCATTGGTTGATACAAATCGCGTGCCTGAAACTCCTGTTTTATGGTGCATTGTGACCCTAACCATAACTCTAACCCTATTAAAAAATATAAAAAATTTAATTGCTGTAAAAATTATTTGTTGTTATGAAATTGTTGTAAATAAATCATGTAAATATTTGCGTTAATTGGAAAAAAATAGTTAAATGAATAAAGATAGGAAAATACATAAAACAGGTAAATAATAAAATATCTGATGGGATTCGATCCAACGACCTTTGAGCCGTGACACCTGTGCTGTACCCGTTCGGCTATACAGGCTTATTGACTTTTTAGATTATAGATGTGCCATGAATATGAGAACACTGTGACATCATTGAGGCAGTTCAGGAATCCATGTGTAACCCTCCTCTTGAGGGTCAAAAGGTTATCAGACTCTTCGCACGTCAGTGGAAAGCAAATTTCCTGATCCTTTCAAATCCATAAAGTGATAAAAATGGTAGGTCAGCGCTAAAACAAAAAAGTTTTTCACTCTGTCCATTAAGCCATGTCCTCAGAAAATGTCTGATATCTAACCTTTCCCCCACTGCCCTTTGACCTGTGACCTCTAATTTCGCACTGGTGATGGGTTTCCTGCCCATCACACTATACACCGAATATTAAGAGCATAGGTAGAGCCGTTAAGATTTGTGCCGCAATTCCGTATTTCCTCCTATACCTTAAAGGCTCACAATGCGCATCCAAACGCTAATTTCTCCAGTAGTAGACTAGCAAATACTTCGTGTCATGCATAATCACACTACCTTATGACAAAATAAACTCTAGTTGCTCCCATTTCACAGCGCGTTTGCTTAAAACCCACAAGAAAGAGGTGAGAAAACTGGCATTCTGGCGCAAACGCCGACTGTTTGCCAAACAAAATAGCCTCGAAGTGGTGACGTGACGTCACATGTTTTTATCTTTGCTGCGCCCGTACCGGCTGTACCACAGCACCGCTGCACGGTTGCTTGGGGATTGGGGAAACTGTCCAAACAACATCGGAGAATTTCACAACATTGGAGGTATTTCAAATACATTTTATAAGACACGCGCAGTGAAATGGGAGGAACTAGAGTTTATTTTGCCATAGGTAGTATGATTATGGCAACACGAAGTATTTTGCTAGTCTAGTACTGGAGAAATTAGCGCTTGGATGTGCATTGTGAGCCTTTAAGTTAAGGGGAAAATATTCCCCCTCCGTTTATACATCTTGACCTTTGACCCTTGCCCCCCAAATTTGTCATCCCAAGTCCTTTTCACGATCCCCCCCCCCCCCGACGTCCCGAATATCGTGACCGTACGTCAAGCGGTTAAGATTTGTGCCCAACTGTTGATGGACGGACGCACGGACGCACGATCATGCGATCCTACAAGCTGCATCTGACTACGTCAGATGAGCTAAAAACGTTTACTATAGTCAAAGTTCATTTTGTCACTTTATTTACATGTATCGTTCAAATTAAGTGAATTCAGCTGTACATAATGCTAATCGCTTTACAACCATAATGGCATTTAGCAATAATCAGTTAATCTGTTTTTTCTCTGACGCAGTACAAGATTACCTACCTTATTTCCCTGCTTATCTAATAGAATTGGTATGGAGTTTTGTTACATGAGCGTGCATGCACGTACGCACGCATTCACGCATTTACGCACGCGCACACACACACACATACACACATTTATATATATTATGTTAGACGATATAGCCTGCCATGCTTTCAAATCTCCCTCACCCCTGCAATCAAAAAGTCAACTGGAAACAAAAGATCCGTTGTTTTTTTATGTCAGCTTTCTATATGGATCAGTAAAAAATGTTAGTTTAAATCACGTGTTCCAGATAAGATGCCACCATGTTTTGCAATTACCTGTGCTGCCAGGCATGGTAGTTTTTAGCGTCCACACTCAACACATTCTCAGTCAGTTTCAACTCCTCTTTAGGATCCTGCGTCCACTCAATCAAAACTCTTCTGTGGTGCCTAGGAATTTTGAGAAACAGTGTGACACGTGATACATTCAACATGCCCTATAGAACACACAAAGGATATATTTAGATTTAAATCCAACATACCAAGTATTGGTAACAGACAAATACCTGTACTAACTAGTTTATAGTTTTTAAACAGTTTTAAAGATAAATAAATGCTGTTGTATTGATTCTCACCACACTTGGTAGTTTTTTGGATGCTCCTGTATTATTTCACCACAGTATTTTAATTCATCATATAAATCCATCTTTAGTTCCTTTAGTATTTGTCGTCTATAATGCCTGCAAAGTTCACACCATGACATGATTAGAGATTAGGGAAGAAACACCAACACAATAAATTACGTGACTCGAGTAAAGGTTCCTAAACATTATTCATTTTCAGTCAAAATATTTCAAGGGGAGATCATTGCTGATTATAGTCTGACTGATCACTATTAGATACAAATCATCATCATAAAAGTGCTAGCACTAGCAGAAAAACAATTGTATATTATCACTTTACTACCAATATCATTTTGCATTTCAATTAGAAAATTCTTTAAAACAAAATTACTTTCGATTGACTGCAAGTCAATCCCTTTATATGACAAATACAAGTTATTAATGTCTGCATTACCACACTGTATAGTTTGCAGGATTTAAATCTATGGCATCTTCAGTTATTTCCAGAGCCCGCTCGGATCTTTCATCTTTCCTAAGTAATGCTCGTAGGTAGTCATAAACATCCTTAACTGAAAAATCAAGAGTTTACCGAGTACTATAAACATACAAGAAAGTAGACTTCATAGCTTTTTAAATATTCAGGAAAACTAAAGGTTATTGCTGATAACTCTCTGTCAGTTAGTCACCTAGCTGTACTTATGCTGTCATGTAAAAGCTGAGAACCACAGTCAGGACAAGATTTATTCATGGTGTCAGTTGGCTTGTAACACTGTGTACTGTGTACTGTGTACTGTGTACTGTGTACATCATAATCACTCCTGGCCCAGATGGTCACGTTAATTTCATTATTAAAATATAGATAAATATACATTGATAAAAAAGATATTGTGAGCTTACAAACGCCAGGAGTTATTTTATCATACTCAAAACCTACGTATAGTAACCTCCAATTAACTTTATTTTTTTCGGTGAGTGACAGGGTAAAATAGCGTGATAAAAAATATGCTAACTTTGCATTTTTATGCAATAAGTTCACAGCTACACACAAGTGAAAATTTTTCCACCGTTTCTTGTAGGCAACAAGGAGCTACTATTTATGAAATGTTTTGTTGCTAGGTTCTATCTGATCTTACTGTTGTTATAAATTCTTACATAATAATAGTGCATTTTTACCCCATTTTACCCAATATGACAGCCCTGCCATTTTCACTAGAGATGCAGTGTAGCTGGAGATGGTGTTGTTTATTTATTAACAAGTGCCGCGGAGCGACAGCGCTCATCTAACGTCTACTGCGGTGACTCTGTGGTGGAGTGGTGGGATTCCAGTAAACCCTGTTAGTCCCAAATGTGTTCACATACACGCCGAAACAGTGGAAGGCACAGGGATGGTATTAGGAACCTTCTCAAAGGAATGTTCGTTGGGATCGTTATGAAAGTTGCCACGAGATGGCGCGTACGTTTAAGTGTCTTCAGATTAAAGATGGAAGCTCCCATCGTACGTAGTAGCAACAACTATTTGCAAGACAGAATAGGTAAGCACTCATCCATTTACCTACGCAAGCCTACAGGCTGAAATAGAGAGCTGCCACTGTAACTAACTAATTACAACACAGGCAAAAACTACCACA